GCTTAACCAACTGAGCCACCCAGGCGCCCCTCTTATTTAATTTTTATTAATTTGAAGGGCAATAGCCACACATGGCTGGTAGCTATAGTACTGGACAATGTAGCTCTTGGCATGCAGGTGTGTTGAGGCTGAGAGCAAGACAAATACATAAAAGTAGCTCTTCTATCTCACTTGAGCTTCAAAAAGTCCCACAAAGGAGATATGACAGGCATTGATAGGCTCATTCTATAGATTAGGAAACTAAGTTAAAACACCTGGCACAGATTTTGAAGAGCATTAGAGGCAGAGCCCAGACCAGACCGGACCAGACCAGAGGGAGGTGGATTTCGGGACTGCAAATCTATCTTCACCTGTTGGGAGAAGCCTTCCCTCCGTGGGAGCATCTCACACTGGCCCTCCAGCTCCTCCTGAGGTCTCGGGCAGGCACTCTCCCCAGCACCCCGCGGCCTCCCTCGCTGCCTTGTGTCACTCACCTGGAAGAGCTCCTGAACCTGCGCATCCACCCACTGCTCCATGTCCAGCCAGCGCTGCAGCTGTCCCCGGTCGTACTTCACCGTCAGCCGGCTGGATCTCCGGGACCTGGCTACTTTGGAGGGGTCGGAGTGGGGCTTTGACTCTGAGTCTGTGGATGACGTCCTCGTCCTCCCAGAAGTCCAGTGGACCTTCTTACTTGGGTTCTCCCTGTCAGGGTTGGGAGACGTGCAGGAAGTAGGGCTTGAAGACAGCATGGAAGTCTTGGTGTGAGCAAGGACCTGGGGAAAACTGCCAGTCAGAGAAAGGGCGCCAGGGAAGTGAGGAGCCGAACAGAGGGAGAGGCCAGCAGGGAAGAAAGGAAGGGGGAGAGGGGCAGGGCCAAGGCTCCGGGAGGGGTGGAGGATCAAAGATCAACAGGACTTTCTCTGGTGCTGGGAATGCCAATCTCCAGGCTCCTTCCTGCCAGTGCGTGGCACTCCCGAGCTGTGCCCCAGCCCTCCTTTTTGCAGCTGCTGGAGCTCAAAGTGATATAAACTTCAGATAAGCAAAGGTTAAGATCGTGCCATGCCTTGGGAGGAAGAAGGGATGCTCAGGTCCTGAGGGGTGCAGGGCTCTGATCGGTGCTCTATGGCCAGTTGTGGAACAGGACTGGAGTCACCCTCACCTGAGAGCCCTCGGCATCCCATCTTCCTGGGACTAGATCCACCTGGGCCCTGAGGAACTGGAGTCAGATGGATCCTGCAGGAGCAGAGTCCCAAGCAGGTAGGAGCTCCTGCTCAGAGTGGGGCACTGGCGGGGGCAGAGTCTCACCAAGGATAGAGGAATGGTTATCTCTGGCCCTCGTCGGGTCAGTACCCTCTTGGGTCTGGGTGTGTCTGAATGTGAGCTGCCTTATGCATATGTGAGGGAAGAGGTCCTCCTCTGTCAGCCTGGCCCTGTGCTTGCAAAGGTAAATTCATCAAGCTCATCTCCCGTGCCCGGTCCCCAGAGGCAACTGCTTGGGAAGCCATGTTTATCATCACATGACCCTCCCCTGACTCAGCTCCTTCCTGACACAGAGGAAACACACAGACCTAACTTTTACCCAGGTGACAAGACTAATAGTTCTAAACATACAGTACTTGCATTCTAAAGGAAGCGTATGTTTCTTTGTTTATTCTTTTGTAACAGAAATGTCCTTTTTTTAAAAGATTTATTTTTTTTTAAGATTTTATTTATTTATTCAAGAGAGAGAATGAGAGAGAGCACATGAGAGGGGGGAGGGTCAGAGGGAGAAGCAGACTCCCTGCTCAGCAGGGAGCCTGATGTGGGACTCGATCCCGGGACTCCAGGATCATGACCTGAGCCGAAGGCAGTCGCTTAACCAACTGAGCCACCCAGGTGCCCGATTTATTTATTTTGAGAGAGAGAGAGAAAGCAGGAGGGGCAGAGGGAAAGGGAGCGAGAAGCCCAAGCAGACTCCCTGCTGAGTATGGAGCCTGACTTGGGGCTCTATCCCATGACCCTGACATCATCACTCAAGTTGAAATCAACAGTCAAACGCTCAACTGACTACACCACCCAGGCACCCTGTTAACAAAAATTTCTAAACTTTTTAGAAAAGTTCCAGAACACTGTATTTTTTTAAAAAATAAGGACAAACAAATGAAAAATGAAAGTTTCTCTCCCCAGCTCCACTCTCCAGAAGCAACCGCACCAACAGCTTCTGTTTTTAATTCTCCTATAAGCACCATTTATCCCTTTGTGTAATATCATATATTTGTCCATTCTAGACAGTATCTCTGGTCTCTTCAATATGAAGAATGGGAAACTTTGTCATCCCCTTTTACTTTCTACATTCCAATTTTTGTTTATAAATTTCTTTTTAGGTCTTGCAGTAGTTGCTTCTAAAATGTTGAGTTTCGGGGCGCCTGGGTGGCTCAGTCGTTAAGCGTCTGCCTTCGGCTCAGGTCATGATCCCAGGGTCCTGGGATCGAGCCCCGCATCGGGCTCC